TCTTGTCACACAACAGTGAGAATTTACCCCTGAGGGAACTAAGTGAATAAGTTTAATATATTCCTTCCTTCCCTTTCTGAGTTAATTTTTGATATGGGTTATATCGATATGGGTCTAGTAAGAATATATACAGACGAGAGCATCATAATCGAGACCCTTTTAGGATCATAATTGGATGGTATTTATTTGTCTGTTTAGTGTAATTGTTTAGTGTAAGGTATACCCCAAGAGGGAGGTTTAGCTTAACCCCCTACGAAATCTTATTTGGAACAGGACCCAGGTTAGGCTGTTATTTTCCTCAGCAACTTCAAATTCAGTCAGATGCAATGGTAGATTATATAACTGCTCTCTCATGCCTTGACCAAAATCCATGCACAGGTGTTTTCTTCTATTCCAGATCCAGAGTCAAATACAGGCACACATAAGCTACTTCCTGGTGACTGGGTCATGGTCAAGAAGTTCCTAAGAAAACACACTCTTGAGCCAAGGTTTTATGGTCCATTCCAAGTCCTATTGACTACATCTACCTCTGTAAAAGGTGGCCGGGAAGAATACCTGGATACACGCCTCGTACTGCAAGAAAGTTCCTGATCCACTAAATCATGAGCTTCCTGTGCCTATTTCTGCTGCTAGACCTATCGAAGGCCCAACAAGTTGTTATTACCAAAGACAATCATGTTTAAACATTCTGGTATAATTCTTCAAACACACACGTAGCTATTTTCACCTTTGATTACTGTGATATTGTCTCTTGTACTTTTCCACAATCACAACACTCAGCAATATACAAAGACATACCAAACAAAAAGGACAGGTGAATTTGTGTGACAGGTGACCATGTAACAATCACTGTAGCGGGTTGGAATACTGGCCGACCACAAAGTGCCTTAGATAGGATTGACAGATATGGGAAACCCTTGTTATACAGAATGACCTTATGCAAGCCAACAGGGTCTACCCCAATGAAGCTCACCTTGAACATAGAACATCCCAGCCCAGGAGACGCTGGGGAGTACGGAATGGGAATGTATTGGAAATGGGGTGGCTCATATAACAAGTTGGGGACCTTCTATTTACAGGACATGCTTATGTCACCTGACTGAGTAGACTCCACACACATGACCATTAACCCTCTAAAACCACACATTAAATCCCTTAAATACATGGTAGCCATTGTCAATCCCACATTTGAAGAAACTATGGCTGATGGAATCACCGTGTACCCAGGTAACTACACTTGCTACACAATACATAGAGCCACGGGTAAATTTGTAGGTAAATTCCCTTCTGGCTACTGTACCACTTATCGAGAACCTCCCACTGCCCTATTAGTAAATCAAGTTAAGTCCATGGGAGAAATTTATTGGCTATGTGGTGACATGCAGCTCAGATTAAAAATGACTGGCCTGTGGTGGGGAGAATGTACTCTGACCAAAGCTATTATGCCCATACATATAATTTCTGATAACCACCAAGGCCCACACGATTCACCACACACGTATCTTAGAGTAAAAAGAGAAACCCCCATTTGAG